ATATTATGAATGGCGTCAGACCATTACAATAAGAGTTCTCTAGCCGAAGGTGGTTGGCTGGCAGGCTGCAAACATAGAGTCATTAGTAAATTTTTGAGGGCCACAATAATTGGGTCGCATGTGGACTGTATGCCACACTTTTCCCTCAGACCGTAAAACCTCGAATAGAAGTCCAATGGGCTTAAGCTTGAGAAGCCCATCTCAATTTAAATCCCCCTCTTAAGTTTGCAAAATTGGCCATACAGGGAAGTCCATCTTGAAAAAAATCCTATGGGCTTCTTTTCAATATAGCATGGGCTTCTTTTCGAGATATTACAGTACATTTACTGTACATGAATTTTTAAAGAAACCAAATAAACAATTAAAAACACGATTGGTTTAATGCAGTTAAATGATTTAATGCCAATCAATATACACTGTACTCCATGGTACAGACTGAGTGGCCATTATTTTATACAGTAGAAGTAATTCCCAAAATTTATATAGAATTCATTTTGAAATGAAAAGCAGCCCCCTTCTTTACTTTGCAAAAGTAGCCTCAAAAATGAGCTCATCTAAAGGCCGCGAAAAAAAAAAGAAGCGGCCCAGGGCAACCACTATCAAAGTTTTATACTGTAGTATGTTAAACAATGGATACAAACAATCAAACAGGACCACACTTTGCCCACCTATGTTATAAACAAAGGATATTAACAATTAAGCAGACAAAAATAGAAAACTTCTACACAAAAAATTCATTAGAACTTCACATTCTGTATTAATAATTAGATTTTACATCAGAATGTACTGAGTATTCGGTACAATGACACATCTGGTAGGGAAAAAACATCAATCCCATGTCCTTATTAACCGCAATAAGAAACTTCTTTATTTTAATAATTATGTTTTTTTGGAAAGAATACACCTTATGGAAGAATAATACCTTAGGTTACCTTACAGTATGTACAGCATAGCAAATACTGTAAATTCTCTTTCTAATTTTCTAATTGAAACTGAAAGATAACTTTTATTATTAAATTACAAAGTAAATTAATTTAAAAATAGAATTTTATTATTCCGTTTATTCAAGCTTCCGTTGTTTTATGCATGTTTGAATGTATGTTTTGTTTGTGTGCTTCCAGTGTTTTCTGTGGTATAGTATTTCAAATAGCTGTAATAAAGAATTGCATATTTTTTATAAGAACAAAATATTTTTATATATTAATACTTTTTCAAATATAAGAATATGTTTTCAATAATTACAATAATTTATAACTTTTATGCTAACTTATTTACATGTTTTCTTGTACTTTTTTGCATTTTATATATTTATTTAATAATTGCAGTTTCTATTTTTTTATAAGAACTAAATATTTTTGCAATTTTAATGTTTCTAAGTAATTTTCAATAAGGCTTATAATAATTGTTATCCATTTTGCTGTACATAATTTTAATCTACAGTATGGTTTTTTTTTTTGGTAACAAAAACTTAAACCACTGACTGCTTTTTTTGTAGTTCACCAGTTCTGGAATCACATCAATATTTTTACATTAAGGAATAATGTAGCTTTTACTGTTCTTATGGTGGTGGGACGAATTCCAAATGGTGGCAGGATTGAATTAAATAATTTTTTTGGTTTAAAATTGTTTTAAATTTTCCAAAATAATTTTTTAAGGCAAAATCATAAATTACACCTTAAATATCATAATAATGTTAAGAATTATGGAAATGGAATCGATGCAAAACACTTTTGAAAAAAAAATTATGCTTCATAAGGGTGGTGGGACGGAATTCTAATAAGCGGAAAATATTAAAATGGGTATAAAGTTAATTTTAATTTGACAAAATGATTTTTTAAACCTAAATCATAAATTACATCTATAAAATCATATAATAGCAAAATGTGACTAAAATCAGATCATATGTAAAGTGTCTAAAAAAATGTAATTAGTTTTAACTGGTGGCGGAACAGAATTTGACCAATAAAAATGCTTCAATATTAATAACTAAGAAATGCGTTTAAAAACATATTTTTACCTCATTTTGTACTTTTGATTGCTAACTATAAAAAACCTAATTTAAAATCTTGGAAATTATTCTGACTAAAATTATCAAACATTGGGATTTCCAACCCGCCACTTTATAAGTACTTCCTTAAATTTGGTCACATAATATACAAAAAATTGAAATATTGCCACAAAAAAAAAAAAAAAAAAAAATCAGGTTTTGAAAGGATTAAAAAAAAAAAATCAGGTTTTGGAAGGATTATGATTGAAAAATACAAATGTTCAATGTCATACTGTAGTACAGGTATTCAAAAACGAATGTTTAACGTAGAAAGATGTAGTTATGGTGGGCAGCACCTCCCAGCCTTGGAAATTTTCCACCCAGTATACAGTAAAGCTAATTTTATAGGCCTCCAACCACCTTCATTAACCCACTCTTCCATCCTTAAAATCCACTCTTATTATTTAGAGTTTACCAATGTTGTCCCCCACCCACCCTTAAAATGTCTTTCACTCACCCTTAGATTTCTACAGCTACAGTACAACCCTGTGATTCGTAGTAAGATAAAACATTTTTACTATAATATTTTTTTTCATTGTTTTGCGATTGTTTTATAACTGTTTTTAGTTTTGTTATTTGTTTGTCCAGCTTTTTTTTTTCAATTTTATAAGAATTGTTTTATTTTTGTTTTAAATATTGTGTAATATTCAAGTCTCTTGCAACAGACAACGGATTAAGAATACAAAACCAGCAAATGAAAAAAAAAACCAAAAAACCAAAAACCAAAGCTCTCATAACCGGATGCTCACACAGAACAAGGAAATTATAGCATCCTAAAAACAGAGAAGAGAAATCCAACACCAACAAAAATGTGTTGCTAATGTTTTCCATCAGTTAAACAAGGGCACACGTTGCGCTGATGGTCGTTAGCCGCTAGAATTCTGCAGAGGATGCAACACGACATGGTGTGCACAACAGATCCATGAAACTCGCGCATAGACTGCCACTTAACAATCAACACAATGTGCCACATCAGGGGTGGGGGCAGTATATACTGGGTAGATATCGTTTGGCAGTTTGAGTAAATCTGTGGAGGAATGATGGGATGGGTCATTTCGTAAAGCCAGTTTACGAAATATGATGCCATGCTACTGTAAGACCTGTCCTAGTTATACAGTAGTAAGTCATCAAGTGAAATTTGACAATAAGACCTGTTATACAGTGGAAAGTGCACTAAAGAAAGTCACAACAATCTTTTATACTTGTACTGGAAGATACTACTAAGACCGAGGGTATATTCCAATGGTAAATCTTACTGCTATCCGCACTTTGATTTTTGAGTCGATGGTTAGTTTTTTTGCGAGAAACCGAGTCGTGAGAATCAACTTTAGAGGGTGTTATCCATGACATCTTCCATTTGAGTAATGCTCGAATTACTTAATTGAGGCCGATTCTCGCATTGGACTTTTCGGCTCGGTAAAATAGATCTGATCAGTTTTACTGGGCACGAGCCACTCGGTTAAAAATGTAGCCCTACTATCAGTCAGAAAGACAGGAAAATACCTCAAAATAAAATTTTGAATAGCTCACTTAAAAGAATCAAGTAAATTATTAGCTTACAGCAAGAAACAGTTTCACTGATTTATAAATTTAATTTACTAAAAATAAAATTCGCAAAATAAGGTGATTTTTAACTACTTGACCGTGATTTTTTAGGAGGGACTGGGGGAGGGGGGCGAGTAATTTTTGGAAGGGTGTGCACCCTCTGCGCATCCCCTAGTTACGCCATTGGTTCCGCATTCTGAATTTCACAACCTCAGGATGAAAGCAGCCTACTGTAAGCTCCTGTTTAAGGCCAATTAAAAAAACAAAGTAGTTTTTTGTCCTACAGTAATATTTTGATGAGGTGAAACTAGTATTTTTTTTTTATTTGGCCTAATAATACAGGGGTACTTTACATCTTTCACTGACATTTGCATACACCTTTTTTTTTTATAAGAACCAGTAAAATTATGCCCAGGCTCACTGTTCTTATTTTTTGGCCTATTTCAGACTCAAAATATTCTTAATTTGTTCTTATTTTAATAATAATAATAATAATTTGGATTTGTAAAGCGCAAAATACATAGGTCTCTATGCGATAGAAATTTACACATTTTTCTAACATAAGATTTTCATTGAACAGCCGTATACACTGTACTGTATCAAAATAAAATTGGCTCCGGAAAAAATGGCCTCTGATAAAAGGCCCCAGAAAAAAGGGCTTCGGTAAAAATGGCCCCAAATGATAGGAGGTACACATAGTTACACCTCCTGCACATAAGATACAAAATATAATAATACAAATAAAAGATACAAATAATAAATATTTTTCTTTTTGGCTTTTCTAGTTTTTTTGAAACTAAATTCTCATTTGACATTTTACCTCAGGCTCAATTTATTCTTATTTTGTTCTTAATATTTCATTGTTCTTACTGTATAAAATGTGTTCGTGTAAAAAAAAAAAAGGTAACGATAACATACCATAGTTTAATCTTTTGACTTTAATATTTCTGGAACATGTGTACAGTTTCAAGGGCAACATTAAACCATGTGCTCATAGATTACATTGCCTATTTCAGCACACAGCCTTGGATTACTGTACAGTACTTCACTACTGTTTAACCACAATAGACCTCACTCACATATTTCCCATTGAGTCCATCTGTGGTTTCATCACCCAACGTGATCATTAGAGATCATTGCATTTTAATCATCACAAGGACTTCCTGGCAATCTGTTTATGAATGACTTGTTTTTGCTTTTGAAATGCACGGTCCACGTTGATAATATGAAACAAACCTTAATAATATCTACACCCAAATAACACAAAAGGTAGCAACTTGTTTTACATTTTTGAAGGAGCATAAATTTTAGAATGGCACAGCGGTAAATGCCTATAGATACACAAAGCTTGACATTGACAATTAATATTCCGTTGCGCACTATGATCCATTTATACAGCACGCGACAACAGCTGTGATGCACGGAACTTCAGAGGCTTGTTCTGCAGTTACGTCTACAGTACATGCTCAGAAGGATGACTGGTATCAGTGATTGGTGAGAATATTTTGTAACGAAACAGTCTTCGGACATAGAAAATTATTCTATATTTAGTAGTCGTGTTTGGTGTGGAACACCATAAGGAGCATAAAAAGGTTTTATATTTTCTACCGATGTCACGTGTCGCTATCACACTCTGTGTAAGGCCTAAATGGCCTTGTGTATATCAATAGAGGTCAAGAGTTCAAAGGCTAAACACATGTTTTGTCCATGTATAGACATCTGAATCACTTTATACAGTACAAGTTAAATTTTCATGCAATCTACAGGTCACCAAAATTTCACCGAATGCTACCGATTTTCATAAAAAGAACTCCAAAATACAGCAAATTAATGACATCTTTTTACCATTAACTGAGTATTCTGTGCCGAATTTTATTTATGCGCCGATTTTATCAATGATGTGAGAGTGCTGCACACAAACACTTTCCGCGAGTATTACCTACACCTGAAAGATCGGAATGCAGGCATGAAAAAATAAAAACCTCCAGTCTTGTGAGGAGGCTTTGCATTAGATAAATATTGAATAACCTAAATATTTTAAATAAAGGCTTACACAATATGTTTATAATAAATTCTATAAAAGTATGATGAACATGAGCTTTTTATTATCATAGGATGATGTAATTTTATTTCAAAATATGTAATAAGTCTATGAATCGATGACATATTGTAGTTATCGGTAGTTGAGATTGATATAATTATGCATGGGTGCCATGGTGACGAGGTGTCAACATTACATACCCTCCCACCAGACTCCTCTGTACATAATCTGCCACAGACTCGTCTCCTCAACCAAGAATTGGCCTGGTTTATGTCGGCGTTACAAAATGTCTACTGAGCTGAATGTGGAACTAGTCTTCACCAATTTGTCAATTCTTTTCCAATGTTTTAATTATTTACAATTGCTAGCAGCTATATAGGTTGGGCCAAATAAAATTCCGTTTCTGGTCGTTTCCTCCCTAACCATTTTTGGACCTGCATCAATTTTGTTGTTTTTTTTTTTGTTTTTTTTTGCTATTTTTAAAATTTTTGGTTTTTTTGACATCGAAAATGCAAAATTTCAATTGCTGACACATTTTATTATTTTTAAAAGCATTTTTAAACACAAATACCAAGATAACAGCAAGAGAAGCAATGACAAAACTATTGACAAATTGTTTACAAGGCATTTTGCTACGCAGAGAACATTCTTTGGCATATTTTGACGAACTGTTAAAAATAATGAATATCAAATATTATAAGTACCTCCCTCACCAACTTTTTTGAAAAACCCAAGACGGAAAACAAGGATTGTTTTTGACTTGGCCTTTTAGTTTTAACTTATATATAACCACCCACTGTAAGTTGTGGGGAAAAAAAAACATGAACTAGTTATAATTATTAAACAAATGGCAAGGGCCTGCATACATATTTACAATGAACTGAACAGCTGCTTAATACAGTAGTGCTACTGTATATTCTAAAAATTAGTACATACAGACAGTACTGTCCTGTTTCCATAGCTGGGCCACACTGCCAACAAACCTATTTTTAACTATTACTTTTAGTATAGTACAATCACATAGAAGAAATATTTTCAAAGTTTTACAACTTTATTAAAACACATTGTGGTCGATTTCCTGAAGATATAAGAGATGACATGTTCTAAAGAGGACTTGACCCCTCCTAAAAAAATATAGGTCTCGGGGCTAGGCTAGGCCCATTTTGATGATGTACTCACATCTCTTTTCATCTTCCTCTCTGGTGGCGATTTTCGTAACCATCCTTGGTGAACAATCCCGTCCAACCTGACCATGGCGACAATTTTCTTTTCTTACAAAATGATGAATGTGGGGTTTGAAAAACAGATGTCAATCCTGTATAAACTCAAGCATTATAAATCTCACTCGGAAATCGTTCAAAAACTCAAAAGTAAGAAGTTATAATTCCAGTATGTTACAGTTAAAATAGTGACTGCACAGCACTACCTTTATCGCAACGGACGAACCGTATGTTACGGTTCACTGCAGTAGATGCATTCAGCGCAGCCAGCGAGGTCGGGCAATTGTTTAGTAAGTGATCACTTCCGTGTTGTTGGTAAACAAGTCTGTGGTGGTGTGAGTAGTGATTGTGAGACCAAATTACTGACTACTATGTATTTTACAAATTTATCTATTTAATAAAATTTGATGACATATATAATATAGCTGTGAATGTGATCCTCCATACCAGAAAATTAAACAGTCACTGTAGGCCTAGTCAGTATGATAGAATAATGCATTCAACATGCTAAACTAAAACTTCAGAAGGCCAGGAGACGTGTTTTCGCTGCTGGTTTGCCGAAATATGGCGACCGTGTGTATTCCGCGAACGCGAAAGTGTGTACGGAATGATTTTGTAGAAACTAATGATAAGGACACACACAAATTTGATATACTGTTGGTGTATGTTACTGTATATGTACTGTAGTTAAGTACTATAAAGTGAAAACAAAATCGTTCACATGGTAAGAGAAATTTTAGAGGAAATGACGGCCATTGAATATCGACCAATCATGAGAAGCGTTTTATTGAGCCTCATCGCTAGCTATTGCACTAATCAGGAGAGGTAGGTGTAAACAATGAAAATGGGCAAGAACAAACCGATCATTAATGCGTTGGTAGGTTAAGCCGAGTCTAATGTCCGGAATACGTAAGTTAGCTAATTTCAATATTGACATGATATTAATACCCAAAGTCTTTAGTGCAGCTGTTGCGCTATGGAGTATCTCTAACAGATGGAGGCTCGTTAAGCGACGATTTTTGGCCAATTTGGAGTTACAAAGTGATGGGTATCGCCGCTTCGACAATGAGGAGCTCGCCGCCTTCCTTCGAAGGCGAAGAAATGAGCTCGATGCCCCCGCCTGCAAAGCGAAATAAGGCTGGTAGTAGTAGTAGTGGCTGTGATGGTAGTGATGTTGATAATAATAAGGCCGTAGATATTAACAGGAACCAGGATGTGCCCGAACAACATGTTTCTGACGAAGAATCAGTGTTTGAGAGTGTTTTTAAAAAGGTTTCACAACTGAGGTACACACTATAGTAGAAGTAAAGAGTTTAAGTACTGACACTGTAACACACAGCCACAGTCTTATTGTTATTCAAGTTGTACTTTGTTTACACCTAGGCCTAGTGTTGCATGTTTTTTTTTTGTTTTTTTTTTTTTTTAAATACAGGTCTCCCTCCAACTAAAGACTGCTTTTGGGACTGGGGTCTGTTTCTATGACCTTTAGCAGCTTTCTTCTAATTAAATAGTATAGATAAAAGTGGTAATGAAGCCGTGTTAGTCTAAACAATATACAAAGAAAATTAAAAGGCAGCACTCTGAGACTAACTTAGATGTTATTTATTTAACACAAGCTTTCGCTGGCAGTCAATGCCAGCTTCATCAGGTGTGTGAAGTAAAAAATTGAAAACCAAAAAGAAAAGAGCTTTATGCACACATAATTAGCAATAGTCTTACAATTAACCAATTAGCAGTTGGATAGTATAGATAAAAAGACATTTCGGACCACAGAAAAATGGTCTTTAATTGGAGGGAGACCTGTTCTAAGTATGCATGCATACTACTGAACAAATAATATGTAGTGATTGAAATTCCGAACTTAACACTGACTCTGAGAGTCCTCATCGGGGCAAGCTGCCCTCCATCGTTGGAGACCTCAACATATTTTGTTGGTGAGAAAAAAATAGCAATGTATGTACAGGGGAAGATTGCTATAAAACTGTTTTAACTGGTAGTCTTAACTCCTCAAATAAAGTCAGCTTTATCACTTAGACGGTCTTGCGAAAGTCACACAGTTGCTAAGACCGTTGCTATAAAACAGTCTTTGCTTAGATCACTTTGAGTATTGAAATGCAAACAAGCACTCCCTTGTAACATAAAATTGAGGGTGCTGTTACACTTCCTCATAAACATGTATATTTATCAAAATGAACGTAAACAAACATAGACCGGATTTTACAGACACTGAAGCTTCCGGAATATTCGTCGTTCTATTCTTGGGGACACCAGCCCCCTTTCCCTTCTTGTGGAGCTAGTATTTAGACCTTAATTCATATCGCAACCCCTACTAACCAGGATTTTAGTGGACTTACCGTATACCATTGATATGTACCATTAATTATACCTACAATATTTAGCTGATAATAAAATATCAGAGTACAGAGTATATTTAGAATATAGCCAGAAAATATCCTGTATTTTGATGTAGAATTATTTCATGAAGCATTTTAAGTCATTTGCTGACTTGTCGTCTGCTATTATTCCATCTCGTCTGCTCTCCATTGAGCTTCTTCCATTCTTTCTCCTATAGTCATCGTCATCATTGTTCACAGATACATTTTTGATTGTGGAAAGTACCAGAAAGTACCACTGTGTATTCAAGAACAAAATTGTCATTGAATTTATTACTCAAACAGGATACACTTAGTTGATTGGTGTAATTGGTGGCTTTTTGCTTGTTTACTCCACTTGTCGTCATGCCTGAGTTGAGTTGAATTTATAAAATACACGATATCTAAAATTTACTGATGAAAATTTATAATTATAGTTATTTTATGATTTTTTATACAAAAATATTTAGTACTAGTATTTTAGGCCTACCGTAAGTACAGTAGACATTGGTACAGTGGCGGTGCCAGTGGGGGACAGGGGGCTTAAGTCCCCCCCAGACAGGTCAATCCCCCCTCCCCCCGCCGGACAGAGCTCGTCGGGCAGTCAGACCATAAAACATATAAAAATAGGCCCATACCAAGTCAACACATGTCTTTCACAGTCTGAGAGTGCCATTTCCGGCTATCCAGATGTTGTTATTCTTAAAAAAACCTCATTTGGGAGGGGAAACCCCTTCTTAACCCCTTCCCCCAGCTCGAGCCTACGAGCTCAAGTCTCCCTGTCGGACAACTTAGCCCCCCCCCCCCAGAAAATTTATCCTAGGGCTGCCACTGAAGCTGTACTGTAATTTATATGCATCCTATAATATCAATAAACACCTCAGATAAAAAAAGGAAATAAATTTACTAATTTTTCTTAAATATTATAAAAGTGTTTGATATTAATTATCATTTCATTCATTTGTTTAGTGCAATTAAATTTGTTTAATTTGGTATTCATATAAAAATAATTAAAAAAAACAGAAAATATTTTTTGTTTACAACTTTCCAAAATGGTACACAAACAAGGAAGTATATTTCTGTAAAATTCTTCAAAGGCAGAAATCATGCTAACTTTAATCTTTTGAGGGCCAACTGCTTCTATAATTGACCTGAGGTCATCGAGGCCAGCATTTTGCTAGTGAGTGGCATGTGAAAAACTTGAATAGGCCATTATATCTGTAATATTATTAACAATGTGCTCTTTAACAAGTCCTCATAATCCTGAAAGCTCCGATGAGGGCAGTATAATAGAGATAGTAGAGTATATTGGCCCTAACAGCCGCCCATATAAAAAGGTCTATTAATCAATGAGCGAATAAGTTCAATCAGCCGAGTGTTTGTAGAGCTTCTCATCGGAGCTAATAATAATACAAATATTTGGCCCTAACTGTCGCCCATACAAAAAAGATTCATTAATCAATCAGCCAAGTGTTTCTAGAGCTTCTCATCAGAGCTCATAGTGTCCCTTACAAACGACCGCTCACCGGTTGTAGATACAAGGCCATAGTCATCTAACGAGTGTGGTGTAACAAAGAGGCCTATGGCCCCTGGCCAAGATCTTTGAGGGCCTACTACTCTAGGGCTGGGTCTGAGTGAAAAGCCACATGGTAAACCACCGCTTTAACGGCAATTTGAAGCAAAATAAAAAAAGCTGATGAATACCCTGTGGCCCCTTAAAGTCTGGGGCCGCTGGCTTTAGCCAACGAGAAGTCATAGCTGTAATACGCAACTGCATCTAATATGGTTGCTACAGTATGTATGAACAGTTTTGCGTATGATCAGTTGACTAGTTTTTGCACAATCCTGCTTGCAGACTTAAGCAGGGCACTTGCTGCATTGTGCGATTGTCGTACAACGAATCCAACTCCAGTGAGCACTAAATGACGCGACAACGTCTGCTCATTGTCGGTGGCAGTCTGAACAGATCGTCATTAAAAAACAATACATTGCGCACTCGTCGCGTTGCGTTCTTTGTAGAATCGTGTCGGCCGACGACCGTTGGCTCAGTGGGTGCCCGGCTTTACAGACTGAAAGTACGACAGAATGACAGACGGACGGACAGATGACAAACATCAATGAATGTACAGTACAATCTCCTTTAGCGGAGGTAATAAAATATGATTGATAGAATTGTCAATATTGTGTGATGTAGTCCTTTGATTAATAAATTCTATTAGTTTTATAAAATATTTAGATACTGTAAGGTTAATGATCATTCTTGCCCATTTGAACTAAAGAATTACTAGACTAGCCATTTTAATACAGTAGGTTGGCAGTGGCAGAGACCATTTTGTAATCAGTGACATACAGCATTTACAGGGTGCTTGATAAGGGGATGTTTGACTTTCCTAAACCATAAATTTGCTTAGCAATAAAAATATGCTGCAAGTAGTTGTAAATCACCTAATTCTACTTCATTGAGCCTTTTCCCTGGGCATTTGCCATTCCCCCACCCATATATGCTCCTGTTCACTGCTAAACATACTATGAAAAATAAAAGCTCTGTCTATATACACTATAAATTAAAAAAAAAAAAACTGTTGTATTCCCATAGTCATGAAGTGGCTATGTGATTTCATCATGACCATATTTAGCCATGTCACATGTTTTTGTCAAATATCATGATAGGCTGCATGGGACTTTAGATAATGATAGAAAATAGGAACTAAAGTGTTCTCAACTGTCTGATCCATCAGTTTATGAAAATTATTTTATGATAAAAGATTTGTCACTAAAGATATATTTTCATTTCCTTTTCAGCGATCAGTTGATAGATGCTATTGTACCAGAACACTTCAAAGATCAGACTATGGAGGAAATAAGGAAATCGGTTGATACGAACCTACCAACGTGGTATTGCAAACACTGCACTTTCGAAAATAAACACAATTATTTAGCGTGTGGCATGTGCCAACAGATAAAGGACTCACAGCCAAAGAATCCAGTGGCATCACAACCAGAGAACCATGACCCAGAAGAGATGGAAGTTACCGAAGAAGAGTTAACAGGAAACGAACGCTGGAATTGTAGACGATGCACATTAGAAAATGATCAAGAAGCCCGAAGGTGCAGTATGTGCGAAACACCAAAAGTTATCACAATGCCTCGGGTAGAACCGCTACCATTCCCGGGTGAAATCAGAGAGGAGAATGTGGCAACAAAGAAAAAAAGCGGGAAATCTAAACCGGTGAAAAGCCCTATCAAAGTTGCGCCTGTTGAGATAATTGATGCGGATGATAGTGACGCAAGCTCTGAGATGGACGTTGATAACAATGGATGGCAATGTGCGCATTGTACATTCTTTAATAAAACAACAGGTGTAAAATGCGCAGCTTGCCACTTGGAGAAAGAAAGCGTTGTACAGCTTCAGAAAAATACTGATGGTAACCAAGCAAGCACAAGTGCTCAGGCGCCGGGAGAAATGGTGATTGAAGTCAACCAATCGTCTTCCAGTAATCAAGATACAAATATGAAAATGGATAAATTAGACAAGAGAAAGTCTTTACCTGTGGTTTTAGATGTTTGTAACCAAGATGCAAATATTAAGACAGATAAAACAGATAAAAGAAAATCTTTACCAGTGGTTGTAGATATACCGGTAATACGTAACGGAACTATTTCAGAGACAGTAATAGAAGAGGAATGGTCTTGTGCAGCCTGCACCTACCAGAATGATGTCACTGCAGTAAAATGTGCCACTTGTTCCGCACCAAGAGAAAGATTAAGTGGTACCGAAGTCCTTCCAGAAGGCAGACCTCTGGGAAATCTTAAAGCAGACCGAATCGGAAGAAGTAATGCGTTGAAAAAGAAGACATGGACTTGTGATACATGTACGCTTATAAATGTTACGGAATCAAATGCTTGTATGGCTTGTAAGAATCCGCGGTCAGCTGAACCAAATTGGCAAGTAAGCTCCGGGGTATTTGCTCCGGGACCAAATGAGTGGGCGTGCGAACAGTGTACGTACAACAACCCGAAAGTTATTAACGTCTGCTGTATGTGCGGCCATAATCATGAGTCTGAAAGCAAGGGAGAGTTGTGGAGTTGTCACAAATGTGGTCTGAAGAACAGTGCCAAGCACAAGAAATGCCGTGTGTGCGAATCACCGCAACAGAAGCAGAAAATGGCGGTGGCAAAAAATCCAGGACTGCGAAGACAAAATAGTATAATTCAAGAATCAAAGAGAAAGTTAGATGAGGAATCGGCCCAGGAGAAATTTGAACATATAAGGAACTTCTGTAAAGTGGTATGTGATTTTAAGCAATTCAATTAAATAAATCAGTGGTTCCCAATGTCGGGTCAGCAGAGTCAAAGGGGTCAGCGGGGAGTTCGCGAAAATGTTGTGGGGTCAGCTAGATTGTTATAAAAACTTTTTCATGATTCCATTATGGTTTCTTTTCTTACATCACACAACAATGTGATCATTCCTTTTGACAATAATTAATACCTTTGGCAGGCATGACTAATATTTTAATTCTAATAATTTATTGGCGATATCTAAGATGTCATGATCCGTAACCTTATTGGTTTAATATCAACCATGATTCGCACTAATTTTTACAAGTTGGAAATTAAATGGAGGATTAAATTGTCTTCAAATTTTGAGTCTGACAGTGCCATTTCCGGCCATCTAGAAGGGCCATCGACATAAACATTTTTTGTACCTCTGCCCCCCCCCCCCATGGTGGGGCTGAGGTGGTTTCTATTTCAAATTCCAGGATTCACAACTGCTTAATGTTGTACTTCTCATGGCAAATCTTCTTCTATCTATAATCTTATTGTTGGGATATGGACAATGAGTAATATCTAGACATGGGGTCTGTGAAGTCTTTTGACATGTCCAGAGGGGTCTGCGAACCCAAAAAGTTTGGGAATCACTGCTTATAAATACTTAAGTTTTTTTGTTTTAATCTAGGTAGCATAGATAGCGCCCCCTCTCCCTAAATTACTTTAAACATGTTTTTTAAATGGAGGAAAAAATCATGGAGAAAAGAAGAAATAAAGGGTGCCATTTCCAGTCATCTAAGTGCCATAGTCATATATAGTAGTTTCAAACCTCACCCTCAACTGTAGTTAGACTGAGATGGTCTTCAACCTCTATTTGTAAAAGTCCCTCCTAAGGTCTGTGGCTGATCCTGGATCAGCCACAGACTGTGCATTGTGACAGTCTGCTGGGGTCATTTTGAGGCATCTACTGTAGAGATGCCTATCTTAAGCATGGTTAGGTTAGGGTGGACACCTCTTTCTAGTGCCCCTCAGACCACATAAATCTTAAGAACATAAGTTCAGTTTTGAAACAACCCAAGTATTTGTGTACTCCTTTCTGTCTTCGTAGAATAAAGAACAGTTTGTGGATGACCAATTTCCTCCGGCACCTGTGTCTTTATATCTCAACCCCGAACAACCAAAGATGAAGGCACGGTGCACGCAGTGGTTAAGACCTTGCCAGGTGTTGAATCCAAGGGAAGAAATGCAAATACCATGGACGATATTCAAGACACCAAGGCCTTCAGACATTTCACAAGGAATCCTCGGAAACTGTTGGTATGTATGATATTGTTATTAATAATAATAATAATAATAATAATAATACACATATTGTGGCGTTTGTGATGGTCAAAAGAAAAGTAGAGAAAACATAACACATACTATTATAACTATTATAGCACCTCCATTGGTCCTGTCGTAAATCATTTACAAGCCTGCTTAGCAGGGGTGGCAAAAGTCTGCAACAGCACTACTGGTGGTAGGATGCCGGATAAATTGCGCATAATTACTCTTTTTTTTTAAAGATTTTTCACCGGCTGGCAACCACTGTTGGGCTATAGTGACAGATAGCATGGTATTGTAGCCATTTTATTGAAGATAATTTTCATGGTTGGTCACATTTTGTATATAAGCTTACCTTGGGGTTTTTCATATCTGATGATATTGAAGAATTAAGCAATTTTATGGAGAAGTCCATTTAATAATAAAATGTAAATAGTGAGGTAATTAACATGATGTACCATCTGTTGTTAAATATAGAAAAACCCAAACAAATTAAATAAACCGTCATCTTGATTGGACGTGAAATATTGCTTTTGAATAAACAAGCAAATCCAGTAAAAAAGAGTTATTTATTTCCTGGTATTGAGACTATACTTACCTGGATGAATAATAATATTCACAAATGTATCAAAGTGTAAGAATTACAGATATTTTTGTTACTTTATTGGTTTTTAGCTTCAACGAAACACTTAGCTGATTGATTAATAGATATTTTTAGATCTACTGCCTCTATTATACTGCCCTCTTGAGGCTGATATATAGTTGATTGATAAATAGATCTTTTTTAGTTTTATTGCTTTATTATACTGCCCTCATCGAAGATTTTGAGGTTACGAGAACTTGTTTTATTTACGATTAAATTTTATTTTTTTTGCTGATTAGGTTACCAGCTTGTTTAATATATACTTTAAAGCGCTTCATGCTAGCAAGGCTCTTGCTAAAAATATGGTTAAAGAAAAGACCTCTAAGTGCTTCACATTATTACCCCCAGTCATTGGATCAACCACATATTGAAGACACTATTACTAAGCTCCCTAGGGGAAATTCCATAATGTTACTGCTGTAATCAGCGCATTTCGTGTTTGAAGCTACCAGGCACCTACAAGTGCTCCTGGGTGGAGAGAGACAACCGTACATAAAAGTGTTTTGCCCAAGAGCATTAGCGAAATGCACAGCGAAGTATTGATCCTCCGACCTCAAGAGTGACTAGCAGAACAGCAACCACTGACCAAACCGCTCATACAGTAAACTTTAAATAGAAGTAATCTCAAAAAGAAGCCCATGAGCTTCTAGTCAAGATGATATGTGCTTATTTTGAGATAGACTGACGTTATCTTTGATTATTATGATAGCGTGTCGGTATTAATGTTATTTTATTGTTCTAACAATACATGGTAAAAGTTATTAAATTTCCGAATTCCATTGTTGAAAAATGCTGTATCAGTAATAGTAATTCCAAAATTTACAGCATTAATTTTGCAAAGAAGCCCACTCTTTAGTTTGCAAAATTAATCTAAAAAAAAGTCCATCTCGAAAAGAGGTCCATCTCAAAAAGAAGCCCATCTAGTGGTCCTATAAAAACTCCAGGACTTCTATTCAAGGTTTTTTTTATGTATTTGTTTTGTTTTTTGGGTTTTTTTTGTTCAATTATAAAAAGTAAACATTTAAAATAATTATTCAAATATTGATTTTATTTTTCACATTTTTTTTGGTTTTTTCTAAGGAGGTCTTGATGGGAATTTTCAAAATGATTGCATCCTCTTAATTTCTGATGGATATATTCATTTGGAAATACCATGTGGTTCATTTTTTGTCTTCTTTTGGATTATTTCCTTCCTCGAAAACGAAGTTATTTATAGCCACAGTATCCTATTGGTTGATAGTATGGCCCTCTAATCACATGCTATTCCAAGGTGTTCTATTGCAGGTTTTTTTTCTTTATTTGGAACAATGAAATTTCATAAAGTAATCGGACACATATTACTTTTCAAAAAGGTGAATGTACCGGAATTCAATGTGCTCTGTTTTTAACCCCGGATAATGTAATGAGAAAACCATCTTGAATGTAAATTAAAGTTGCTCACAGATTGGTGTCTGTTTTTCCATGCTGACCTATTGTTAGATGGTTTTATAATAACCTGATGGTTAACACTCTGACTGCCAGGGGTTTAAAAAAAATAGTATCAGCCACCGCCAGACATTTTAGCAAAATTTAACACTTCTCCGTAGCTCGTTGTGAGTGCATATGTGATCATATTGACATGTAATGTATACTACAAGAACTACTGTACAAACATCTTAGCTTTACAATGGTACCAAAACACTTTACTCAGTCTGTGACCCATAACTGTACTTTAAATGAAAAGGCCTCACTTTTGGAGATTTACGCAATTTCGCACAACGAAGATGAGATAATCACGATTTCATGAAAGTACTACTACGCTCAATGTAAACAAACAAATAGTGAAATACTTACAGTCCTGACTGAATATAGTGTTCAAATTGTTAGTACATGTCGGCATTTACCCCATCTATCGGATTCCATAAAAACCTGAAACACAGAGATCTCTGTGTTTGGCAGTCAGGCGTTGTGTTTCCAAACACGGAGATCTCCGTGTTTGGCGGACAGAGTGTTAATAATAACAAAGCTCATCTGATTGTAGTGTTAGCAAGACTTTAATTAAAATACAAGATATATGGGAAAGCAATGTAAAACAATGCGGGCTGGGGATGCAGGGTCCCATCAAAAAGAGTGCTGCATCTCCCCCCCCCCCCCAAAAAAAAAAAAAAAAAAAAAAAAAAAAAAAAAAAAAAAAAAAGAAGAAAAACTGATGAAATAAGCCTTTAAAACCATTCGCACCTGGATCACTTCTCTAGAAATTTTGAGTGATGCCAGACCACACCCACTTATGCTCTCATCGGGGAATCTCTCACTGGGGAATCTCTCATCGGGGGAATCCCTTCCCCCCATCTCCTATCCAGATTATTCCATTTTTAATGGTGTGCGCAAGCAGGCTAGAATAAAATTTTATGTTTATTTGAAAATTAAAAAATACTGCTTTTTAGAACATTGTTCCATTATGTATTTAGGAGAATGTGGTATTAACGATAAATATAAAAGAAGAAAAAAGGATATTAATATAATAATGAAATGATGTTTCATTGGCAGGTTTTTAAGTGCACTAGCGGTGTTGGCTGAGCAGCCGAAATTGGTGGAGTATATTATGATTACGCGTCAAATGAATGATGAAGGCGCGTATATGGTTCGCTTGTGCAAAGACGGCGCTTGGGAAACGGTTCTTATCGATGACTTACTACCATGTGATGTCTACTCAAGGCTTGTTTACTCACAGGTAATATTCTCTTTTACTAAGCCACGCCCCTTGGATATTGTCGCCAAGGTCTCACATAGTTCTGAGAAGAACTGTTGTTGGTTGGGAAAATTATTTCATGATATTTTATGGTATTTTTCATAAAACAGTACATCGCTCAATAAGTTTTTATTTACGAACACTTTGCCATAATATTTTAAATGTTTCTGCTTACTGTAGGCAAAACGAAAACAGTTATGGGTTCCGTTGATTGAGAAGGGCCTTGCAAAGCTTCACGGCTGCTACGAGAACCTCATTGCTGGTCGGTGTGCCGAAGGCCTAGCCCTGCTCACTGGGGCGCCCTGTGAAAGTATACAATTACATGGTGAGTTTCTGCCAGTGTAAACTAAATTTGATTGGGAATGGTCCTGCATTTCTAAAGCACCTTTCACAATAAAAATCATTTTAAGGCACTTTCACATCTTCAAGCTAAGCCTTGTTCGCACTAGATTTAAAAAATGGTAAATTTAACCAGGGTAACTTTAACCAAAGTCATGGGTACATTTCACCATTGTTCGCACTTGGATTATTCACGCGTTTAGTTTTACCATAGTTTTACCAAGATTTAACCTTGTGTATAAAAAATATTATTGAGGGCGCTAGTTTGTGACTTCAACTTCCGGTTTTGTTCGAGTGGTGTCAACATGGAAGAAGTTTTAACCGTGTTGCACGTTCGGATTGGACTTCTTGACCAGCGTGGTTAGTTTAACCAAGACCGTGGTAAGTTTTACTGGGCAGGCTGAGGTCGGTAAAATTAACCATTCGGCTTGGTTAATTTAACCCTGAGGGAATTGTAACCGACATTCGGATTAGATTTTTTTGGTCAATTTAGCCAGTGACTCGGTTAATTTGACCAAATTAAGTCCAGTGCGATAGGGGCTTTAAAGATGCTCGAATGCTTGACTTAATGACAGTCTTCCAGGTCTACCTTTAGATTGTGTTCTATGCATTTGATTCACAAAATAATAAGAATTTTGCAATTTTATTTCCACACCATACCATAAAACCTTGAATAGAAGCGCTGGGCTTCTTCTCTTTTTTAGGACTTTTTTGTTGGGCTTCTTTTCGAAATGGGTTTTTTTTTGTTTTGAGTTTTCTTTTTGAATTTTGGAACTACTATACTAAAGGGCTGAAATACAAGTTACAATAGTGCATTGTCTTTCGGATGAGACGTTTAAGCCTTTGGTCCTGCGTGCATTATGGCCCATGTGCACGATAAAGAACGCAGTACACTCTTCGGAAAAGATTAGGGGATTGTCTGCCGGTGTACTGCCCATTTACCACCAGAAGGACCCCACTGGAAATAAGTCGTCTTCTAGACTTTCGTGGGCTATCCTTTGTGTTTACAGCGAATAAATCCAATCCAATCCAATAGTACGATAAAATACTTGACACTGACACCCTTTCGTAATAATTCAAAATTCTGTTTAATATTTTTAAAATTTGAAACATGCTAGTACAATAAAATACTATTGATACTGACACGCTATCATAATAGTCAAAATAACGTATGATTTGTAAGTACTGTACTATCTTGAAAGAAGCCATATTATTTTGATTAGAAGCCCATAGGCTTCTTTCCTAGATCGAATTCTTTTTGAGATTTTTTTTGCAAATTGAAAAGGGGGCTTCTTTTATAGAAGAACTTCTTCTCGAGATTAAGCCCATGGATGCTTCTATTCAAGGTTTTATTGTATGTGAGCGGCAACCTTAGACGTTGTTCTTGCAGAGTAGTGCTTTTCTTTTTACATCACTAATTAACAAAATGATATTAATTATTGGATGACCATAATTACAATATTATTAGTATGTTAATTAATATATAAAAATGTCAAAGAAAGGTAAATACAGTGTTCGAATAAAGGACATAATAATAAATCTTGTAGCATAGCTCTCAACGAATGTAGTCCTGTCTTTTATTTAAACACTATTACTTTCTTTGATGATTTATATATAATTTAACAGAGTTAACGGCTATCTTGATTTATATTATATGCAACTATTTATTTCTAGCCGTACCAATTGTGTAATGGAGCGTATCTGGTAGTATTTGAATCTGTTCAACCATGAAGCCTCCGTGGTCTAATGGTTATGATGCACGCCTTGACAGCAAGAGGTCGCAGGTTCGGTTCCTGCCAGAGGCATTTTATTACACAATTTCCCTATTCATTTATTTACAGGACTACATTCGACGAGAGCTATGCTACACGATGTATTATGTCCTTTTTTTTTTTGGCCTCATTCAAATACAGTTTTTTTGAACATTATAAAGTTTAATTTATCTTTTCAGCAAGCGGTTTAAGACCAGATGATCCTGCTATAGACCAGGACTTCATTTGGGCTCAGTTGCTTAGCTCCAAGGAAGCGGGGTAAGTCAATACTGATATTAATTTGCGCATTGGCCCCTGTGATCATCACCCATTAAACCTTTTTTGCGATTATCAGGACTACTTTGAGAACACTAGCTATCTTACCGAAGCCCAACCAACCTAATATATTGAAAATCTATGTTTGTCTTTTTTTTTATGTGTGGTCTCGTCACGAAATGAGACACAGTGTTTGTGAGGTCATATTAAGGTAATCACCAATCTAGGACAAAGCAAAATTTTATCAAAATTGGATCCTCGTACAGTACATCTAAACTTCAAATGCTCACATCTCCTGATCTAAATATCCTATGTTACAAAAACATGTGTTTTTATCGATTTGTATTTTACTGATAAAAATAAACAAATAAATAAATAAAAATTAAATGTAAATAATTAAATGAATGAAAATTTTATTAACTTGTGAAATTGCTTTTGTAAAACTGAAAATTTTACCAAACTTTTAGTTTTATTACAATTATTTGACATTTTAAATGTGTGAAATTGTGTTATATTTAGAATGGTTGTTTGATTGTGAATGTTTAGTTTTTTAATGTATTTTAGTTAAAATTATGGATTTTAAATTGTGTAAAGCACATTGAGATGTCACCAGATATGTTTGTGCTGTATAAGAATTGTATTAATTATTATTATTATTATTATTAAATATGGTCATGATGACATCATAGCTTGACCTTACAGTATATAAGCACGAACAATTTTTGTGGTATTTTGTCCGGGTGGAGCCCAAAATACTTGTATGATCATATGAAAAATTTTCATTTGATACCAAAAACCATGGATTTTAGCCCTGTGGCTCTCATTTCATTTACAGATGCATGTGGTATTAAGTCATGGCTAGTCATGGACCATAAAATTAGTCCTAGACCTACAGTGAACAGAACCCCTCTAATTTCTATTCCACATTCTCACTTTGACAACATTTTTTTGGCTATATATTTGTGTATATTTATACAATAATTGGATGTATCATTTAGCCTATAATTGTGTAATGTTATTACTTTGTATATAAGTCCCTTTGTTATAGTTATAAAGTTTGGTTTCATTTTTGTTAAATCCTATAATTATTTATGTCAATCCAGTGCTATCCAGAATTCTTCACGGTTGCTAGTTTCTGTAGAGCAAAGATATTATAATTACAAGATAGCGTTTTCCAGGATTTCTTTATGCAAATTCTGTAATAACGCAGTGTACGGCATGATTATTTTTCAACTTTGACATCAGAGATCGTTAACTGAAGAAAGCACATCATTCGTGCCAATTTTGTAACAGCCATGGTAACAACTAGGATGCCCTCTCTCAAAAGTGATTTCTTAAAATGTTTTTTATTACTGAACATCGACGCTTCTGTTTATTACGTGTAGAATTGCAGAGAGCGCTATCTTTTGGATTTTCATCATAATAACAAAAGTGTCAATATTTTGAAGTGATAAAAACTAGGTTTTGTTATGGTTGTCTATTATAAATCGATACCATTTGTATTTGACCTAATTAAAACAATGAAGGAACTAAAGCAAAACTTCAAAACCTTGACATTTACTGGGAAATATGTAACAAGTTTGTAGTGGTCAATACAATTCAATTCAATTCATTTTATTCAGTCTATCATATAAATAAATGTAACAAAAATGTGTTTTGAAGCCTAGCAATCAAATGAGAACATAAATAGTTAATTAATACTTATTATATTGTTCCATCTATAAAAGGTATTAAGATATATTATTAAACATTAACATATATTATTAAAACATTAAAATACGGTAAAAAGTATAAAGATATATTATTAAAACACTGTACAATGATAAAGTTCCAAAACCCACAAAAGGTGGACAAGTGTCATAGAGATTCAAAACAGTGAAAAACTTGTTTTTGTATAAACATAAGCAAAACTGTATATTAAAGTAGTCTATGATACTGTAGATATCCGCATAAACAAATTTCCTTTTTTTCCAAAATAAGAACACCCCTTAAAAATATATTGGAACAGTCGGCCCCTTGCATCAGATTTAGGCAAAGTTTTTTTTTGCTTTTTTAATACTTTAATATTTTAAAGACTTTCACTTGTACAGATCAACATCATTCTGTTTATCATTATAATGATTATCTTTCTAATTAAAGACCGAAGCTGCTAAAAACCATGACAACCTTGTTCCCTAAAGTAGTCATAAATTGCAGGGAGACTTGTATTAAAGTACTGTAGTATTATTAAATGATAGTTTTTTATTAAATATTTTTTTATATTTTTTTCTTCCTATTGTTGCTTTAATTTAAAAACAATTATGTTACCAAAATTTAGAGCTTAGGTATGGATATAAAATTTTGTGTAACTAAAAATTATTATATTGTTAATTAAATTAGTTTGCTTCAATGGTTGGCATGTGTTTATAAGCAAATAAATCTCTTATTATTATTTAGAGTTTTTTTTTTTCTATTTTGGAAAAATTATTTTTATTTGTTTATAACAGAAATTTGAAAGTCAAATTTAAGGTTTATTTTTCCATTTGAAACATATTTAAAGCCATATTGACTAATTACCTTCTTAAACAAAAGGAAGTAATAAAAATTGCAAGAAAAAATGGAGCTAAATTAAGCAATTATGGAAAAATATAACAAATGAATAGAGGATCATGTGAATATTTATGATCATATGTCTATGTACTGTATTTAATGTAGAATTGAATTTGAAAATAATGTACCTGTGTAACAATTGCCATACATATATATCAAATCAAAAAGGATAATGCATAATCAAAAATCAACCCTGGGACGGATGCAGGGGGTGGAGTTGCAACGGTGCCACCACACCTCTTCCCCCCCTCCCTTAAATTGTATTAAGAAAAATAATTGTTGTATTGTACATTAATAAGAAAACAGAAAGTAGACAGGGTTGATAGTTTGGCTAAGCACCAATTTGGCTATGATAAATGTGTTCTCATGTTTGTTTTAGTTTCCTGATTGGGGAATCAATAAAATGTATCAAATCATAAAGACTAATGCATAATCAATCAATCAGTAGATTTATCGTGAATTATACAGTAATACGAAAACAGAAAGTAGACATGAGTTGCTTGTCTGACTAAGCGTCAGTTAGGCAATGATCAATGTGTTCATGTTTTTCAGTTTCCTGATGGGTGCATCGTGCGGAAGTGGAAACATGAAGATAAATCCTGAAGATTATAAAGCAATTGGCCTTCGTCCAAGGCATTCCTACTCACTCCTGGACGTCCAGGATCTCAACGGCAACAGGTAATTTTTACAAGCGCTTAAGCTTTAACAGAATTATACCGTGATTTCCATGTTCAACTTTGTGCTAATAATCTATTGTACTGTTTGTTGTTTCTTTAGCTGTACAGTAAAAGAGAGAGTAGAGTTGAATGGTTGTGTGGTTAAGGTGCTCACCTTCCAATCCCAAGGTCCTGGGTTCAAATCCTGTGAGAGTTCAGGATTTTTTCTGATGACAAACAACTCCATTCCATAAGCCTCTTTATGAGACTTTGTTTATGTAAAGCATCATGTGTATATGTTTGTCTTGTGAAGGGATTGCGACCTATATTCTAATTGGACAGTGATTAAGTTGCTGAAGGAATAAAAAAAAATATATATAAATTGTATTTTTTGGATGTTACAACTTGTTTATTTCGGTTTTTTTTGTATTTTGATATATTTTATATACTGAAATGGAAAGCAATAATATTTAAATTATTCTTGTTATGTACATATTATTGTATATAATTTTAATGTTGATATTTCTATGTTGTTGGCTTGTGTAGTGGATAAAGTTTAATTTTGGGTAAATAGTCTTATATTTATCCTGACTGATAGATTGGTTCGGCTCCGCAACCCATGGGGGTCGTATTCTTGGAAGGGTGATTGGTCCGACGAGTCACCCCTCTGGACTGATGAGACGAGGGAGAAGTTCATGCCACTAGGCGCTGCTGATGGTATATTCTGGATCTCGTTGGAAGACATGATGAAGTAAGCTGATTATCACGACATCCTGTTTCAAGATAATATATGGGATAGAATTCTTAAAATTCAAAAATTAATTGAATCTGTCAAGATGTACTTAATTCCAGCCATTACTATATAAGGATGTTTTTTTTGGGGGTTTTTTTTTGCAAAGAAATAGAAATGTTATTATAAATGTAACTCTTAATTAGTAACAAATATAATTCTAATATTTTAAATTTAAAGGTAATAAATAACTTAAATTCACTAATTAAAACAATTTGATTGTTATGGTAAAGTAAAGGTGTAGTTGAAATCTGTGCGCTCACAGGTCGAGGTGCCCATCTCTCTTTCCTTGGTTTATGGGTCAGAATGTGCAATGCTTAAGAAGGGAATGCTTTGCTACTCGTATCTCCACTAGTTGCTTTACCTTCCCAACATTTGCCGATATCCATTAGCACTTTTGGGTAGACAAATATAGATTTGTCTGAAGTATCTTGCACAAGCAAGAGTTTGTTACTGTTCAAGGTTGCTATTAAATGGCTTTATGAATGAGGTGTTAAAAATAGAAATAGTTTAAATTTTTATTCCTATGAATAGAGCCTTTTCGTAAAACTTTTTATTATATTATACAAAAATTCTACATTGTTTTATATGTATGTCACAGTTTTTATAACCTAGTAGAAACACAAACAATGGCTAATATTCCTTATCTTATCCTTGTATTAGGTATTTCGACAATATAGACATTTGCAAAGTGCGAAATGGTTGGTCTGAGGTCCGGTTACCTGGTATCTTCCCTAACTTCGCTGGAGGACCGATGGAAGTTACAATACTCACGATCGATAAGCCCACACAAACCGATTTCACCCTGTACCAGAAATGGAGGTGATTACGAAATATAATTAATTGTTCAGTTTATTGTTGGGGTCAAGATAGGAGTGTCTATGTCGCAGCCCTGGGTAAAATTAGTCCTATCACCACCATACTCAACAAAGCACAATAGGATTAAACAGCATCAGGCTATTAGAGTTTGTGTGAAAAATCATGAAAAATTGCATTAAAAACAGCTGAAATTTGAGAGTAATTAATAGTGCTTAATATACATAAAAATATTAAGGCTTGTTTTAAGTTTGGCTACGATTAGATACCCAACTTTCAATTCTGATTGGATGGAAAGTGGTTGGCATGGTTCCTGGACACAGTATTAAACCTGTAAATTAACTGTCATGTTCATGATCTATGTCCACCAAGGTGACAGTTTATTGTAGTGTTTGGTGACAGCTAAAGATGATGCTTATATGTATTTGTAATCATGTTCAACAAGAATGAAAGTCAATCCATGTCAGACACTGAGCTTTCTATTAGGGTCCTTGAAAAAGACACATTTTGAATAGCACAAGATAAAAAGAAAACAAGAAAAGTAGCATCTTCTTTAACTCGCATACAGTGCACACTCCAATTCGAGACCCCTCTAATTCCGAGACCCCTCTAATTCAAGACCACTTTTTTCAAAGAACCAAACAACAAGTGTCAATTTTTAACACAAAGCTAACCCTCTAAATGGAGACCGAACCCCAAGACCACCCCAAATTTTCAGGTTACAAAGTGGACTCGAATTGGAGAGCAAACTGTATTTAAATCAATTTAATGAATATTATGTTATTTATTGAGAGCATTATGATGAAATTAAATGTTCCTTTAGACGTGTTGGTGGTGCAGACCGTGATCCGCTCGACCTCTGCATTGTCGTCCTCCGAACATCAGGCCATACGACCTCGGGAATGTCAAAGATCATGACCTTCAATAAGCGTCAAATCAGAGCCTCTGTTGGGTGTTCCACCGTCCTTCAAAAGGGAACGTATATAGTGGTTTGCTTGGCTTTTAACCATTGGACAACCGGAGTGGATATGAAAGGTATGATGCTGTTTGTTTTCAGTGGCAGATTCAAGTGTTGGGGTGGGGGGAGAACTGGCCTGGGCCCCCCTAAATACTTGGAAAAAAAGTGAGTGCCAATGACTGTGAAAGTCCCTCCCAGGGCCCCTCTAACCTCCTTGCCACTGTTTTTTTATTACTTTAATAAAACGTGATTGATCTGATATGTGTCCTTTCGAAAATTGATAACTTACAGCTGGTCCTAATGGACCATTAGATGGTAAGCAGGATCCAGAATTGTTCAAAAAAGGGGAAACAAGTTTAATATCAGAATAGATAAGATGGGAATGCTGGCAGTAGTGGTATAATGAAGGACTCCAGAGGCCCTATTGAAACATATTGTATTTGTATTCTATTTCAATTAAAAATTGTAGTGGCAAAACTGGAGGGGTCTGGGAGGGGGAAGATGCACCCCCTGGTAAGTTAACTCAACCATTTACCTCTTGTATTTCTCTTAAAACAGGTGTACGGAGTCCAGTCCGGAAATCGGCTTTCCCATCTTACACCCTGGCCATACATAGCAACAGGGCGCTTGTTGCTTCCCTGATCAACCCTTCCAAGACTTGTCTTGCGGATGCAGTTCAGTTGCTTGCAGTACAAAAGGGCAAAAGACACGAGGTGGGTGAATCGCATCATGATATCCTCATGTAATCAGGCTCCGTGCTCAGACAACTATATAAAATATACTATATATTATATTAAAAGCATATAGTTGTCTAACCTCTCAAGCATAATTATATTAACACGCTCGCTGCAAGCGATGAGTATACTCCTCCCACAGGGTGTTGCTGAGGGCGCTAGGCACGACTATGCTGGTCAAAATCGGGGTAACATTCTACAATTTTTTACTTCATTATTATACATTGTAGAACCACAGACTTAATGGCTGATAGTTCGGGGAAGATACACCTAGACGATAACGTACAAATAACGTATGTATGTTTGTTGAGCTATGTTGTGGGCAGTACATTCAATTGCACGATTGGAGGCACCCTCTACACGTATACCAGCCCATGCAAAAAAACGGACAAGAAAACTCATACTTGGATGAGGCAATAACAAGCACTGTCTGATTGCCGGCGACAAGTTTACTCCCCCCCCCCCCCTAACATTTTCCTGTCAATTTCTCAGACACACCATTTTGATAATATATGACTTGTTTTCTTGTTTTGGTACACAGGGAAGGACCTAAAATAAAGGGTCTGGCAGTCAGCATGTTAACACAAAAATGTTTTTGGTGTTTTTCACTGTTCTGTTCAAATTGACTGTATTTCTTGTTAATGTACTGATGTTCCCACTAAGGTTAATAGTGGGCTTCTAGTCTGTACATTTATGGTTCAATTCTACCACAGCATGATTTTTTAATTTTTAATTTTGTTTCAAAGTAGAGCCTAAACCCATGTGCCAACAAAACATACAAAATTTAAGTGTACATTTATTAAATTAACTATTGTAATGGTTATATTCAAAATAGCTTCAGTATAATTAGAATGGAACAACACTTTCTATCGGAACAGAGGAAATACAATAGAAGAAAAAGTCTTGCCTGCCTTTTTTTTTTTTTGACTTATATTAAATAGCTTCACATAAATTCTCGGAGCAGTTTGCTTGAAGTGAAAGGCTTGGCATTGGGTTAAGAAACTGATATTGAGTAAGCTTAAATGTCAGCACTTCCATACCTATTGCCTAGCTGTCTTGTCTATACTTTTGTAATAGTTGCAGTATCAGTGCATCCTGTCTGAAGATAACACACTGTGTTAACAAACAATAACAAGGTTACACTGTTATTGTGTAATTCAACACTTAGATCACAGCTAGGCAATGTTCGGCCCGACAGTGATATTTTTCTTGCGGCCCGCAAAAATTAATTAAAAACCCTATGTGTGCGGCCAACCATCATCGGCTAGAAAACACCTTGTTTTTTTTTTCGGCCTGACACCGATCATCTGTAAAAAAATTATATTAAAACTGAGCATAAAGCAGTATGAAAGCACTGCATGAAGGATTTTGGAATCGCACTGGAAACATAGAAGTTTGGTTGCGGCCTTCTGTGTTAAATCAAAAATTCACCTTGGCCCTCCGACCAATTTTTATTTTATTTTTTTTTTTATTCATTTCTTTAAAACTGGTAGTTGAATTTGTTTGACATTGCTCTGTCCTCACTTAGCAGCCCCTTATTTGAATTGATATTATCAGCTTGCACTGTAATATAGTTTAATTTATTCCAGGTGTTGATGATTCTATTAGAAAAAGAGTGTTTTCAAATATTTAGTCGAGCTCTGGTCTTTCTTAGTTTAAACTGATGACTCTGTGTTCTGTTGGAGACTTACAATTCAAAGAAGTGCCCAATTTCCAAATCCGTGAATACGTGAATGATGTCAGATCCATCTCTTCTATATTTCAGAGTAGGTAGACGTAGTTCCCATATTCTCTGTTCATATGGCTTTTCTCTTAGTCCTCTCAAAATTTTCGTTGTTCTGCATTGCACCCTTTCTATTTTGTTTGCATCACCTTTCAAGAGTGGATACCAAATACAACTAACATACTCTAAATGAGGCCGAATGATGCTTTTGTACAGGATATATTGGAATTCATATATTTTACAACTCGTGGCCTGCGAATGTAAAAAGATATTTTCAGCCCCAGAGTTGTAAATATATAAATTAACCACACTCGGAGCGTGAATATAATAATAAATAATGTAATATTATTTATTTTGAACATAAAAAGATACAAAATAAATAATATTAATGTTCTTTTAGGGACGTGAAGGAGTAACGATCTATTACTTAGACCATGGTTGGGCTGGTTTGTTTGTCGTGGCTGAGAATCGTCACCATGATCGGTCTCTTCATGTCCGCTGCGATTGTACGGACAGCATGAATGTTGTATCTACCCGAGGACACCTAGTAACCAAGGACAGAGTTCCGCCATTACACAGGTAAGATATGAGAATCCCATAATGCATTGCAGAGCACTATTGTCAAAGTGAGTGCTTATTAGTTGCAATTAGTCTTAAATATTTTGAGTTAAATATAAATAAATTTAAATATTTTAATTTTATACATTGTATATTTAATTACCACAAAATATATTGCATATCAAAAATGAGAAAATATTTTCTCTGCAAATTAATACCATTTCTATATTTTTAAATAGAACCTTAAATTGACTGTTGATAAACTTCAGGTTGTACATTTTATATACAGAGAATTTGTCTTTAAGCATTTTCTTTTTTTTTCTTAATCAGACAAGTTCTGAATGTGCTGACTCAACTTGGAGAAGATGGATTCTCTGTGGTCCACCGAACAGCTCATCGTATCTCGTTAGGTAAAGACTTGCTGGACTGGGCCGAGCCACGTGTCCAGCATGTACCCGAAATATCAGGTGACGTGTTTGGACTTCATAGTCCACGTCCCCTGTAGGAATGGTCTGAGGCAAAAGTTCACGCCCTCTGTTGGAATGAACAGGGGCAAAAACCAGCATTGAAACAATATGAATGGGTGGCTGTCAGCAAGTTTAGTGAAACCTGAAACAGTCTTTCTGCTGGTCAGCGCATGGTTGCTTTTAGGCTGCGGTCACACTAGAGCCTTAAGCCTGGCTTGACTCAGTATGGCCGATATCTGAAGCCTTTCATGAAATTTTAAATGTTCACACTTACCTGGGTTGACCTAGGCTGACCTAATTCAGATAGTAGAAATCCTTGAGCATAAACATTGCACTACCAGCTGTGATTGGTCACATTTTGAAATTTTAGTTCAACCCAGGACAACCTGGGTACCTTGCCTCGGTTGAGCTGTCTGGGTTGAGAGCAATTTCAAGCCAGGAATGAGTCAACCCAGTTTGGTTCAGACTACTAATTTCTGTAGTGTGACTGTAACATAAGTAATACAAGAGAGTTGCTAAGACCTTCTACCCATTTTGAATAACACATTTTAAGTATCTTTTAATACAATCAATATTTATATGACAATAGAGGGATTCGGCGATGTTTGTTTACAGATGGTCACGTGACATAAGTTGGGTATACATGGAGAACACTACAGTGAGATTGCATAGGAAAAGATAATGTTGTGGTTGTAAAGACAACCACCCAGAAATAAATGGCTAGGAAAGGCAATACGATGGCATGCATTTCGATACTGGGAGTATGAAATACTTGTGCTTGGATAGTACTTGGAGTACTATGTTATCAAAGGCAATACAATTGTTCAAAATAGGATTGTATGCTGTAAAATTTAAATGATCCTTCATAAACCTTAGGTGGATCTAACATCGCAGAGGAGTTTGCAGGTCCAAGACCATCATGCATACATAACCATGCCATAGATGTACAGGGGCCTAAACCTAACATTTGTCGGAAATTCTAAATGTTTGCGGCCAGTTATCCTTTATAGCATTAGCAAACCATTAAGGCAAAATTCTCAAGTTTAATTTCCATTCAATTTGGTATAGTTTACTGGCAGTTATGATAATTTTTACAGCAAAAAGAAGGGACAGCCACAAAAGCAGTGTGATTGTAAAAGACCGCTGTGCCAGTCGATTGTTTATATCCAACACCCTATGTCACATGACGCCCATCGCTGAATCCCTCCATTACCTATGATTTTCTCATATATGGGTGCTGCTTGACATCATCATGCCCATATATGGGAAAATTACACATATTTGTCACATAAATCGTACAGTGTGTACCAAGCTTAACAGTGCAGTGCGTATAAGACGACCTTCAGAGTTTGAGAAGATTTTTTGACAATTGTTGTGTGTCGGCGTATAAAGGCCAACTCAGACAGCATCGTACGACGCAGCTCGATGCATTTCGTTGTCGGGCACAGTCTTGAGAAATATTAAACATGTTTAATATTCTACGACGTGACTGCCCCAGATGCAAACCATCGCGTCTGCATTTAACACACACAGACCTGACGCGACAACAAATCGTGTTGAGCTGTGTCGTACGACGCTGTCTGAGTTGGCCTTAAGACAATCCCCTGCTTGTACCGTATTTTATACTCGCGTATAAGACGACCCCCGGAGTTTGAGAAGATTTTTTGACGATTGTTGTGTGTCGGCGTTTCACCATCAGAATTCATAATTTTTGCTGCTTGTTATGTTCTTGATACTACATCTAGCTGGCTAAAAACGGAGCCAAATGCAAGACTAATCTTCCAAATAATACCATTTTATGAGATTTTAAATGTTCATCAAAAGCTTATTTCCCTATACAGTCGAACCTCCTTTTTACGTACCCCAGTTATACGAACCCTCTGTTTTACGTACGCCTCGTA